TTGTTGTTGAGACAGATTCCCACTCTATTCCCTGAGCAGAGTGCAATGGTGTCATAGCTCACTGCAACCTCAGACTTGGGCTGTGGGCATCCCGCTGCCTCAGCCTCTGGAAGCGCTGGGATTACAGGTGCCTGGCTGGGTTTTTCCTTTTATTTATTTATTTTTTTTTAGGAGTTGGGTTCTCACTCTCACTCAGACAAGTCTCGAACTCCTGAGCTCAAGCAATTCTCCCTCCTTAGCCTCCCACAGTGGTGGGTTTACAGGCATGAGCCACCACTCCAGCTTTGTTTTTTTTTTTTTTGAGATGGAGTCTCACTCTGTTGCCCCATGCTAGACTACAATGGTGTCAGCTTAGCTCACAACACCCTCAAACTCCTGAGCTCAAGCGATCCTCCTGTCTTAACCTCCCAAGTAACTGGGACTATAGGTGCCCACCTCAACGCCTCGGTAATTTTTTTTTTTTTTTAGTTTTGGCCAGGGCCAGGCTTGAACCCGCCACCCCCAGCATATGGGGCTGGTGTCTTACTCCTTGAGCCACAGGTACCACCCTTTTTTCTTTTCTTTTCTTTTTTTTTGGGGGGGGGGTAGAATCTCACTTGGTTGCCCTGGGTAGAATACTATGGCATCATCACTCACAGGTCACAGCAACCTCAAACTCTTGGGCTCAAGTGATCCTCTTGCCTCAGACTCCTGAATAGCTGGGACTACAGGCACCACCACAACACCCAGGTAGTTTATCTATTTTTAGTAGAGACAGAGTCTCGCTGTTGGTCAGGCTGGTCTCAAACTCCTGAGCTCAGGCAATTTACCCACTTCAACCTCAAGGAGTGCTAGTGTTATAGGGGTGAATCACCCCACCTGCTCTGGCTAGTTTTTCTATTTTTAGTAAAGGCAGGGTCTTGATTTTCCTCATGCTGGTCTCAAACTTCTGAGCCCAATGGATCCTCTGCCCTCGGCCTCCCAGAGTGCTTGGATTATAGGCGTGAACCACTGGGCCTGGACTTTTTTATTGAGACAGGGTCTCGAAGTGATGGAGCGATCTTCCTGCCTCAGTCTCCTGACTAGCTTAGACTACGGTGCACACTACTATGCCCAGCTAATTTTTCATATTTTTTGTAGAGAAGGGGTCTTGAATTGTTGCCCAGGCTGGTCTTGAACTCCTGTGCTCAAATGATCCTCCTGCCTTAGCCTCCCAAAGTGCATGAGCTACTACACCTAGCCCCATAAACGTACTGAGCATGGGGTAAGATAGGGTCAGAGTTAAGAGAAGGAAAGATCCCTCTGGGGCAATGTGGAAGAGGGACTGCCAGGAACAGACTGGGTGAATTAGTTGGCTAGAGCTGGCATAACAAAGTGCTACAGACTGGGTGGCTTAAGCAACAGAAATACATTTTCTTGCAATACAGGAGGCCAGAAGTCTGAGATGAAGATGTCAGTAGGATTGATTTCCTCAGAGGCTTCTCTCCTTGACTTGCAGATAGCCATCTTCTCCCTGTGTCTTCATCTGGTCTTCCCTGTTGCGTGTCTTTGTCATAATTTCCTCTTTTAAAGATTAGACCCTGGGCAGCGCCTGTGGCTCAGTGAGTAGGGCTCCAGCTCCATATACTGAGGGTGGCAGGTTCAAACCCGGCCCTGGCCAAACTGCAACAAAAAATAGCTGGGTGTGTGATAGGCACTTGTAGTCCCAGCTCCTCAGGAGGCTGAGGGAAGAGAATCACTTAAGCCCAAGAGCTGGAGATTGCTGTGAGCCGTGACTCCACAGCACTCTATCGAGGGTGACAAAGTGAGACTCCATCTCTTAAAAAAGAAAAGGAAATATAAATAAATAAGGAAAATTAAAAAAAAAAAGATTAGAGTCTGACCTAATGACCTCATTTTAACATAATTATCTCTGTAAATAGCATGTCTCCAAATACAGTCACCTTGGGAGGTAGGAGGACAAAGGGAGAAGGGAGGAAAGAGGAGGATTGGTGTGTTCCCACCTAATTGGCACAATGTGATGGTATATGGCACACCTCCTTGGTACGGGACACGACTGCAAAAGGGACTTTACCTAACAAATGCAAACGTTGTAATCTAATTGTACCCTCATATTAATCTGAAATAAATAAAACAAATACAGTCACCTTTGGAGATACCAGGGAGTTAAGGCTTCATGTTACTGATTGCCAGGTGGAGGGTATAGACACAGTTCCGCCCATAAAGCGGGAAGATTGGGGAAATGGTTTAGATGAGAAAGTACAAGGGCCAGGAGAGTCAGGGGTGGGAGGGACACAACCTGGGGACTGATAGGTTGTGTTTGTAAACGGGAGAGCTGTGGGTACCCTCTCAAGATTAGGACCCTAGGGCTCGGCGCCTATAGCTCAGCTGGCTAAGGCGCCAGCCACGTACACCTAAGGTGACGGGTTCAAATCCCCAGCCCGGACCCGCCAAACAACAATGATGGCTGCAACCAAAAACTAGCCAGGCGTTGTGGCGGGCGCCTGTGGTCCCAGCTACTTGGGAGGCGGAGGCAAGAGACTCGCTTGAGCCCAGGAGTTGGAGGTTGCTGTGAGCTGTAATGCCACGGCACTCTGCCCAGGGGGACAGCTTGAGGCTCTGTCTCAAAAAAAAAAAAAAAAAAAAAAAAGATTAGGACCCTAGCTCCAGCCTGGGAAAAAAAGTGAGACCCTCTTGCTGAAAAAATATATATATATTGGGACCGTAGACCCTAGAAGGGAGAAGAACTGTTTGGTTAATTCCTGAACCCTAACTCCTTTTCTTCATTTATGTGTTCTATCTTCTTTCCCTTGTGGTCTACAGGCCATCTGGACACGCTTTTTTCCTGCCTCAGAGGCTCTGAGGTCTGTTTTGGCCCAGGGAACTCTGGGAGACCTCCGGGTGGCTAGGGCAGAATTTGGGAAGGACCTCACTCGCCTACCCCGGGCTGTAGACTGGACCCAGGCTGGTGGTGGCCTGCTGGACATTGGCATCTACTGCCTCCAGTTCATCTCCATGGTCTTCAGTGGGCAGAAGCCAGAGAAGATTTCAGCCACGGGAAGGCGCCATGAAACAGGTACCTCTATGGACTATTTGATGATGATAGGAGTGACTATAGCTCCCTGAAAGCAATGAGCTGGGAATAGGTCTTCTAGCCCATGATAATCCAATGAGACAACTAGAAGAATTTCCCATAAAGTCAAAGAGGATCAGAGTCAAGAACGCAGGAAGGCTCTGTACTGGGATTTTGCTGTGTAATTTTAGGCCAAGAGGCTCAAAAACTTTGAGGCTTAATTACGTTATTGGTAAAATGTCAATTATAGGGTTGTCATGGAATTTAATGAAGTAATTTTGAGGCAAATTGTAAGCAGTTAAGAAGTATAAATGATTATTATTATTATTTTTGAAACAGAGGCTCACTTTGTCACCCTTGATAGAGTGCCATGGTTGTCATTGCTTACAGCAACCTCAAACTCCTGGGCTTAAGCAATTCTCTTGTCTCAGCCTCCCAAATAGCTGGGACTACAGGTACCTGCCACAACACCCGGCTATTTTTAGAGGTGAGGTCTCGCTCTGGCTCAGGCTAGCCTTGAACTTATGAGCTCAGACAATCTACTCCTCTCAGCCTCCCAAGTGCTGGGATTACAGACATGAGCCACCGTGCCCAACTATGATTATTATTTTGAAGTTGTCTCAGTGATCCCTTGCTGTATAACAAACTACCCCCCTGGCTGGGCACTGATAGCTCAGTGGTTAGGGTGCCGGCCACATGCTCTGGGGCTGGTGGGTTCAAACCAGGCCCAGGCCTGCTAAAAGAACAAAAATAATAGCCAGGTGTTGTGATGGGCACCTGTAGTCCCAGCTACTAGGGAGGCTGAGGCAAGAGAATTGCTTGAGCCCAAGAGTTTGAGGTTGCTGTGAGCTATGCATTGCTCTGTCACCCTTGGCACTCTACCAAGGGCGACAAAGTGAGGCTCTGTCTCAATTAAAAAAAAAAAAACCCTACCCCAAATGGTGATCAATTCACTTGAGCTCAGGAATTCAAGGGAAAGCAATCATTTATTAGCTTGTAATTCTGTGTATTGGCAATTTGGACTGAGCTCAGCTTGGGTGGTTCTTCTGTTAGTCTCATTCCTTTAGCTGCAGTCAACTGGCTGTTGGCTGGGGCTAGATGGTCCAGCATAGCCTCATTTATGTCTTCTAGGTGGTAGGCTACTGTCTGGAGAGCCCTGGTTCTCCTCCACATGGCCTCTATTGAGTAACTGGGATTCATTCATATTATAGTCTCAGAATTCCATGTATATCAAAAAGAGGGCAGGCCCAATGTGCAAGCATCTTTCCAGGCTGTGGTTGCACCTTGTTTGTAAGTCACATGGTTTAGTAGACAAACAGACTGTCCCTTTTTTTTTTTTTTTTTGTGATTTTTGGCCAGGGCTGGGTTTGAACCCACCATCTCTAGCCTATGGGGCTGGCACCCTACTCCTTTGAGCCACAGGCACCACCCCAGACTGTCCTTTTTAATGGAAGGAGCTCAGGGACACTCAGAGGAATGAGAGAAATTATTATTGCAACCATCTTTGTTTCTCTCTTTTTTTCAACATGCCATTGCTGGGTTGAAATATTGTGGCCATATTTGCAAACAATGCCACAGGAAGCAATGAATAGCTAGGAGAACAAAACAATGGTTTAAAGGGAACACTTTAGAAAACTCAGTGGAAGGCTCAGAGCTCATAGCACAGTGGTTATGGTGCCACCACATGCACCAAGGCCAGAGGGTTCAAACCCAACCCAGGCCAGCTAGAACAACAATGTCAACTGCAACAACAACAACAAAAAAATAGCCAGGCATTGTGGCAGATGCCTGTAGTCCCAGCTGCTTGGGAGGCTGAGGCAAGAGAATCGCTTTAGCCCAAGAGTTTGAGGTTGCTGTGAGCTATGACGCCATGGCACTCTACTGAGGGCAAAATAGTGAGACTCTGTCTAAAAAAAAATTCAATGAAATATCTGGCTGATTTCTATGTTAAGCAGTAGCTATAACTACAGATTCTATTTATCTAGTGCTTATTCTGCATTAAAGTTATTATAGGTATGATTTCTCTGAGGTAGATATGTTAGGAGTATCCCTCCCTTTTTTTTTTGAGACAGAGCCTCACTTTGTTTCCCCCTGGTAGAGTGCAATGGTGTCAGAGCTCACATCAACCTCAGACTCTTGGGCTCAAGGGATTCTCTTGCCTCAGCCTCCCAAGTAGCTGGGACTACAGGCACCAGCCACAACACCTGGCTATTTGTTGTTTTTTAGAGATGGGGGTCTCACTCTTGCTTAGGCTGTTCTTGAACCCTTGAGCTCAGGCAATCCACCTGCTTTGGCCTCCCAAGGTGCTGGGATTACATGCAAACTATCCCCATTTTACAGATGAGGAAACTGAAGTTCATAAAGGAAAGTGACTTGTCCAGGATCACATAGCAGGTCCAGGAAAAGAACTTGGGCTTATCTGCAACCAAACAGAACTGGATTAACAGGTTTCTCCCTGCATGGTGTGCTTGAGGTATCCCAGAACTAGCCTAGTACTTCACATGCTGGATTGAATCAAATTGAATATTTAACCAACACTTATATATCACTTACTGTGATTTAAATAGCCTTCTAAGTGCTTGATGCATTTTACATCATTTCATGTAATATGTGTAACACCACCACGAGGTAGATTCTATTATTAACACCTTTTTAGTGATGAGGAAATTGATTCATATGTACCCATAAAACAAGCTTGTACAGAGGAAGAAACAGACTCAGAAAGATGAGGTAGCCTTTCTATAGCATGTATTTGTTTATTGATTCATTTTCTAATGTTTGTTTTTTGAGACAGAGTCTCACTATGTCACCCTTGGTAGAGTTCTGTGGTGTCACAGCTCACAGCAACCTCACACTCTTGGGCTTAAGCAATTCTCTTGCCTCAGCCTCCCGAGTAGCTGGAACTACAGGTACTCGCCACAGTGCCCAGCTATTTTTTTTTTTTTTTTAGAC